ACATCAGCTACACCAGCGACATCAGCCACACCGGCTACATCAGCTACACCAGCTACATCAGCTACACCAGCGACATCAGCTACACCAGGGACATCAGCTACACCAGCTACATCAGCTACACCAGCGACATCAGCCACACCGGCTACATCAGCTACACCAGCTACATCAGCTACACCAGCGACATCAGCTACACCAGGGACATCAGCTACACCGGCTACATCAGCTACACCAGTAACATCAGCTTCACCAGGTATATAAGCTACGTCAACAAGAAGTTCTCCATATACATCAAGATTTCTTTTACGACCTTTTGAAATTTCAAGAATCAATATTATGATATTCAGATTTCAAATGCAAGTGAAACAGAGCCATAAGGAATCCACTAAACGCAGTCTTGTGAATTTGATAAATTGAAACAATTAGATGATACAAATACTCATTGGTAGGAATGTTTGTGTGTACACATTTTTCATAGATGGTTGACATGTTTGCAAAAGCCAAAACCACTTACAAATTATCGCACGTGCTATAATGTCGTCTTCTTGTGCTGATCGATGTGAGTGGGCAGGCAGGCGCCACATAAATCAGATATTGTCTTCAAAATCCAAGGAAACCTGCTTATCCATTCAACTTTAAATTTTAACAGATGCAAGAGCAGACTAATGCCAAGATCTGTTTAGGATTTGGATATACTGGCTATATAATATGGCAGCCATTTTCAATTATTTCATAGATCGGCCATTTTGAATATTTTCATAAATCTTGTCATCAAAATTCCGTTCAACTTGAAATTTTACAGATGCAAGAACAGTACTAGTTCCAACATCTGACTAGGTTTTTGGCATGCTAGCTAAATTATGTGGTGGCCATCTTGCACATGATCCAAAGTGCGAAACATATCACTGAATGTCTTGTTGTCCATCTAATGTTAAAAGTATACCAATTCCATACCCTGTTCTAGATAGAATTAATCATTGAAGCATCACTTATGTTTAGGTACTACAGAACGACAAGGGAATACAGCCTGTATTGATGGCAATAGTGGCAAGGTAGAGATTGAAACAACAGAGGAAACAGTTGAAGCCCAATGTATCGACGGCTCGTTGGTGATCGCTAACAGGTTTGATGGTTCGGTCGATTTCAATAGAAATTGGACTGATTACAAAAGCGGATTTGGTCATGTAGACGGAGAATACTTCTTAGGCCTCAAAAATATCAGATCCATTCTAAGTAAAGGGAGTTACAAACTTCGTATTGAGCTAACTACTTGGCCAGATAAAGGTAGTCTTACCAAATATGCGGAATATGATGATTTCAGCATAGGGCCAGAGGGTGATAACTTTAGGCTTAGCATTGGAACTTATTCAGGAACCGCAGGTGATGCCTTGGAGGCCGATAATAATGATCAGTTTTCTACGAAAGATGAAGATAATGATGGTAGTGATATTAGCGATTGTGCCTTAAGGAGGTTGGGGGCATGGTGGTACTCAGCCTGCTCATATTCTAATATATTTGGACCTTATATGCCATCATCCACATGCGATATTGCTTTTAAATGCATATTTTGGCAAAAATGGCCAACAAAGTTGAGTGGAAGCAATAATGCTTACTACTCATTTAAAGAAATTAGGATGATGATGAGATTAGTTTAATATTAATCAAATAATCATCTGACAACCCAAAGTTTGCATAACATGGGACATTTCCTGGAAAGAGACTTGACAATTGTATTTTTTTATCATGACAAAAACAGTTGTTCACACATTTTTCTATATACATTTTGAAAACGTTGTGATATGTTGAATAAAATTAAAACTTTCCAAGCCAATTATAAATTGTGTAACAAATTTTGCGATGTTCGGTTTTAGTTGTAACGTCATAAATCTATAGCATAAATAAGTTAACCTCTAAAAACGTTCAAAGTATAAATTTAAAGTATTTAGGGAATAATGATAATAGTAATTACCTACGGCCCTCGTACAGATATATTATATTGGCTTCGGGATAATCCCATGTAGTATAATCTATATAAACTCAATTCTGCATTTTGCCTATTTGGTGTTAAATTTTCATTATGCCGAGAGAATGACTCCTTTACGAATAATATTTCCAATGCTATGATTAAATGAGTGGGATTGTTACTTTTAAAAGTGACACATTTATTCTCCCAATAGAACGAAATATGTGTTACTATATAGTTACCTTAGTTAATGTGATATATTTATAAGGTATTAAGTGAAAACGGATTTTTTAAATAGTTAACAGTATTTGGACAAATTACCACTTAATCATCGAATGGTTAACGGATTCTTGCTACTTTAGGAGCGCTACTTGACTTGCGTGGTGGAAGGATGACGACAATTACAAGACAAGGAACAAGATGCAGTAATTTTTGGCATACAATTATGCCATGCCTATCATAAGCGAGAAGTATCGTGGTAAAAAAGACAGTGTACTGACACCAATTTACTTTGACCATATATGTCGATCTCACAATGCAAAGCGCATTATCAATATTTCCACTATTGAGCCCTTTCTAGTCAAAAAGCTGAAGATTATTGAAGAGGAGATATTTTCTATGAACTTCTATTTATTATAAATAGTTGTTGACTACCATAAATCACGCCGTTCCACCATCGCTGGATGTATCTTGTATGGCCGTGCACATTATCAATATTTCCACTAATGAGCCCTTTCTGTTAGTCAAAAAGCTGAAGATTATTGAAGAGGAGATATTTTCTATGAACTTCTATCTATTATAAATAGTTGTTGACTACCATAAATCACGCCGTACCACCATCGCTGGATGTTTCTTGTATGAATGTATCGCTGACGGATACAAAATGGCGGTTCAATATGTTGCTTATACTTTTTTGGCCTAAAATAAGAATGCTATCATGGCAAATACATTGTATGATTTGCTTCATATACACTGTACGGTCTTGGTCAACAGTACTTTCAAGGATTACAATATCGGTTTACAATTTTGCCAGTTGGTGGGCCCATAATCACTCCGGAACACCCTGACACCGGTAAAGGCAGATACCGTTGTCACAAATGGCTGATGTAACCGTCGCTTCAACTCTTTAATCACTTGGTTCTCATTTCGCAGGACCTCCTCGACGCTAATTCTGTGCATGTATTAAGCTCCGTGATGGTGTCTTATATGAAATACATTATTTTGTAATCCCGATTTTACAGCACATTTAACCCGCATTAAACGTCATCATTTATACAGCATCCATTGTCCTGTGTCATATTTTGATCGGTAAAATTAAAGCCTTTGATTCAATGATAGACAATTATATAACTATACGATAACTAGAAAGACAGTTTGATTGATTATTGTACGAACGGAATTTAATCTAGGTGCTCTATTCAACATGCAGGTAATGAAAATGAATCAAATACCAATCTGTAGCCGCCAATTGTGACAAAGGTAGTTCACAATGCCAGGAGTAAGATTCTTCCAGGTGTATCTAAAATTGATTACACTCCCCTCCATAAGTTTGGCAATCTTAGCTCCCCCATTGAACTACGTGTTAAAGCCTCTTTACGTTTGAATTTTTGTTTACTTGACCTGCGATGAAATTACTTATAATATTGATGGAAACGTAGCTTGACTTTATTTCCAATATCTCCAAATTTTCCCAATTTTTTCTTCGATTACGATAGGTCGAAAATTGATGATATATTCAATGATTTGGGAAATGGTGGTAATTTTGCAAGACCTCTGAGTGATTGATATTCTGGCATATGACTTGCGGCACACCTACCATTTCCCATTGGTTAACATGGGAATGTCGATTTTCAAAAAATCATCAAATTTATCATCAATTTTCAATCTATTGTAATTGAAGAAAAAGTTGAGAACATTTGGGGATATTGGGAGTAAAGTCAAATTACGTTTCAATCAATAGTGTAAGTATTTTCATCAAAGGTTAAGTAAATAAAAATTCAAAAGTAAAGAGGCTTTAACACGTAGTGCAATGGGGGAGCTAAGGTTACCAAACTTTTCGAGGGGAGTGTAACTTGATGCTAATAACATTGTCATTAAAAATGAGTACATTGTCAAGTTTTAATGTGAATTTAATTGTGAGGTACGTACATGTATACATATGTGCATGTGACAAACTCCCCAACCAGTTGTTAAGGCATTCTGATTCAATGTCTGTTTGGATTGGCTAGGTCAAACAACATTTTCCTTTTTAAGAGTGTAACGAAGCCCTCATTAATGCGTTATCAGAGGGTAAGAGTACAAGTTACTTGTCCCTGATTTTTAGTCTTTAACATTTTTGCGGACGGTGTCCGGCAGTAGGCGGTCGGCGTTCGAGGTTCGGCGTCTCTTACAACTTCCAACAACTGGTGGTGACACTCTTTCATGTGATCGGTCATTGTTTTGAATTTGACGTCATCCCCATGGAACTATTAGCACAGAAAATGAAATATAGCCCCATTAGTGGAATTATTTCCGAAACATATTTGTAATAATGCTGAATGTATGTAAAGCCTTGACTGAGTATACCCAAACGGGGATAATATATGTTCCTGAGCATGTTATTTGAGCTACAAAGATTAATGATGCGCTACCTATTATCTGATTTATTCCATTAATCTCTTTGATTATCGCTTATGCCCTTTTATATCAATTTGTGATTAGCATGATGAAATTATGTTTTTTACGCACAATGTACCCTTTGGAATTTTGCCTCTTGTCAAGCTCTTTCTCTTATTTTGAATCAGACAGTCAGCAATCGATATTATTAAAAACAAAACTTTTTAAAATATGCATATATGATAAAAGGGGATAATACAAAGCTTGGAATGCTTTTAACTCGACGTGTCAGCCTCCGGAAAATAGTTGTTCATTAATGCATTTTTGGACAGTGCATTATTCTCTACCGCCCTGGATGGATTTAATGCCAGTAGCGCCTTTAATCATCGTGTTGTCTCCAATATATAAATAATTTACACGTTACCATTGTCATTCTTTCCGAAGAGTATCTCTTCCCTGTGTTGACACGATACTCAATGTGCCTTTGACGTTTTAAAGTATCGAGAGAAGGGTGTCAATATCAAGGAAAAAGAACGAAAGTAGGCTACTTAAACAGTTAGAGGAACGAAAAGTTTCATTTTAAAGGAAACGGGTGAGTGTTTATTTAAAAAAAGGTTTCCTAGATTAAACTCGTTTAAGTAAGCATTTATATTCAACGGCAGGGATAACTGCCGACTTAGTCTCTAGTACAGTACTAGTATCTAGGATTTTTCTCATCTTGTCGACAGCCAAAACACTACATTTTGAGTACACAGGCAAATTACATTGGACCCCGTACGAGGCTGTACAAGCGAAGCCCCGTTCCCTCAACGGGCTCTGTACAACTTGTACGGGCCAAGTAACGATTCCCGTAATAATAATTCTCGTTATTTTCGAACTCGAAGTGGCTTGTGATAAGAAGGCCCGTACCCGTAATTTCCGACCCATGAACTTGCCTGTACGGGGCCCGTGACGAGACCCGTGATTGCTGGTAATTGAAATAAAATACAGAATACATCAAAATTACATTTCGATTATATGCAAATGTGAATAAATATGTCGTTAATATTTTCAAAATATCCACAAGCTTGTTTTCGTATGCTGGAACAGTATAAAGAAAATACTTATACTATTGATGGAAACGTAATTTGACTTTAATTCCAATAGCTCCAAATTTTCTCAATTTTTTTCCTCAATTACAATAGATCGAAAGACGAAAATTGATGATAAATTTGATGAATAGGATAGTTTCTAAATAGCAGAAAAATCAATGAAATCTCATGCTGCCATCTTTTATTCAACTTTTAACTCGGGCTAGAGCTCCATTCATTTACATGCTAAAATCTTGGAAAAGTGGCTTAATTTCATGATTTATCAAAGTGTGTTTGTTGAATCTGTATAAAACTTGAATGATATACCACATGATGACCCTGTTTATTTACATGATGTGATTAAACATGCAAATGTTGATTGACATACAAATAATCCACGGATTTAAAGAATTTTAGCATTGCATCTATGGACATTTGGCCCAAGTTTTTTTAAATTGTTATAGAAAATTATTCAAATTACATAACTGTGTAAATCAAAGCTATTAAAGGAGAAAACATTTCAATGAATTCAAATATGCCATTTAAAAGAAGGTAATGTAAGTCATTGGAGGTCTAATATGCAAGTCTCTTAAAATCTCACGAAAAACGAGATTTAGCGAGATTTCAAAAGCTATATGGAAACTATACTATTATTGAAAATCGACATTCCCATGTTAACCAATGGGAAATGGTAGGTTTGCCGCAAGTCATATGACAGAATATCCATCCATCCGAGTCCTTGCAAAAAATACTAGTTCGGCAGGCAATTGAATTTGCTAACTTTATTTAACAAAAAATTGATATGTTTCTCCAGGTTCAACAAAATTATAGGGCTTTAAAGTCAAAATTGTTTTTCAAAAAACCTCTCCCATTGAAATAACACAGGAGGCGAAAGATTATTTTCAAAAATGACTATGAAGCGCCGTAACTTTAATATTCATCAAATAAACTAAAAAAGTTAGACAATTCAATTTTCTATATAAAAATATTTTTTGCTGAATCTTTTACTGAAAAGATATCCTGATTTCTGATTTGCCCCGAACCTTTCATTTCCCATTGGATTACATGGGAATGACGATTTTCAAAAATTCATCAAATTTATCATCAATTTTCGACCTATTGTAACTGAGGAAAAAAATTGAGAAAATTTTGACGTATTGGAAATAAAGTAAAGTTAAGTTTCCATCAATATTATAAGTTATTTCATCGCCGGTTAAGTAAATAAAAATTCAAACGTAAAGAGGCTTTAACACGTAGTTCAATGGGGGAAAAAGGTTGCCAAACTTATGGAGGGGAGTGTATATCAGGCTGTAGACTTAATAATCGGAAAACTAGATAAATAAGTTAGTTCAATTAGTTACAATATAATCAAAGGTAGAATTGTTTTTTTTCTTGCCGGGAAAAGTTACAATATTACGGGTCTCGAACGGGCTCGTACGGTCCACGAATTGAGAAACTACGGGCCTCATACTTGCCTGTACTGGACTCGTACAAAAACAGTGATGACTACATCAATTTCATTCAATGTACTATAAAGCCACACCTCTCGCTCAGTTTTGCAATGGCGTGTCATTTATTCATAGAATTATCATAAAACCACGTTTCTCCTCTTTGCAATGGTATGTCATTCATTCACATAAAGTTGTGGTTGGCGGAAAAATCATTGCTTTCGCAAAGAGAGGCAAAGTCAGCTTATTCATGACCAAGTTTCAAACATTGCAAACTTCAGTGCACTGGAGTATAGGAGCTATTGTAAGAAGGTGTGGCAGGTTTGGCAAAGACGGTTAAGTGTTCATACTCATACTATTGCACATAAAGATGCGCTCTTCTCTTCATGTCATGCGTGGTTCAGCTCTGAGTCAATTGTGGGTTCAGGCGGATAACAACCCATTGGCAATCCTTCTCAACGTTTTGCAATATCTGGTGGAGGAATGGTTATCACTCTGCTCCTGAGATAGCTTCGAAAGAAAAAGTCACAACAATTCAGGTCAGGAGAACTTCCATTAGCACTTACCCATCGCACTGACTTTTGCAATATCCGAAACTTGGTCCAGAGCCAACTTTGTCCCGTTGTGCAAAAGGAATGAATTGTCACCTAAAATATGCTTAAGTATGCTTTAATCGCATTGTATATGTCAGAGACGATGCTTTATATAACAGGCCGTTCAATAAGATCATGCAATAATGCTCTAATTTGCTATTTTCCATTTTTTCCCTCAAAACATTTACGCATTTAAGAGCCCAAAAATGTATTTGTTCTGAGTGATCAAATGTTATGGTTGCTATGGTGACTCATGTTTTGGTCATGCGGAGCAATTTAGGTCGACGTGAAAAATACTTGATCTTGATTAATCTCCTGTGCATTATTTACACATGTTTACAATGTATAATACTTGTCATTTCATTGGGGATTCAACAAAGTTATAGGTCTCCAGATTCAAAATTATTTTTCAAGGAAGCCCTCCCTTTAAAATCACCATCTTGATCTATCAATGTATTACTAAAGGAATACACTGGTTTAATAGCATTGGGAATAACACAGACGGCGTAAAATGATTTTCAAAAATGACTTTAAAGGTTTGTAACTCTTTTTTTATTCAGTTTTATGAATTAAAATTAATCATTTCAAAATATACAAATACAAGTAGCGGTTGTGTATTAAAACATAAATAGCCACTTTTAAATACATTTGAATACACATATTTGGTCAAGTTTGAGAACAAGTTTAAAGGTAAACAAGTGGGTGGTGTATTGGATAACTAGACATTAAAACATTTCTCAAAGAATTGTGCACTGAGCTTTAAAATACACAAAGGACAAGTCTCGGTTTTGAGAACAGTCTCCTGGGCTAATAATTATTTTCATGAAAAATATAGAAATATCACCCAAATTAAATTATGAAAATTCAAAAGAGAACATTTAAATCTATACAATTGCTCTAAGCAGGAATAACTGTGCAATAGCCCCATTCAATAGAATACTAGTCTCGATTTAATGATTTAATAAATCTAGAAATATCACCCAAATTAAATTATAACTATTCAAAAGAAGACATTCAAATCTATATTATGTAAAAAATCGTCCGAAGCAGGGGTAACACTCAATTAGAGCGATGAACTTCGTTCCATAATGATATCCGATTTATCCTATGGTTTCATTTACCTTAATTTCTTAATGTTAAAAACTCCTAAAAAATTAACAACAAGTCTTGAAGATTTTTTGGATCTCTGTTTAGAAACCTTTAATTGGTCTGTCAATTTCACTAGAATTATCGTTGATATCATTACTACTTTGCTCCGAATCGAGTGTTTTTTGGTAATTAGACTCCAGATTGAAAATCTGGAGTCTATTGCTTTTGCCAGTTTTCTTTATTATTAGACTCCAGATGAAAATCTGGAGTCTATTGCTTTTGCCAGTTTTCTTTATTATTATTATTAGACTCCAGATTGAAAATCTGGAGTCTATTGTTTTTGCCTGTTTTCTTTATCATTTTTCTTTCTTTTTTCTTCCTCCTCACCAAATTTCTCGTCAACTATAACAGCTTACTTAATCCAACTTACTGGGTTAACTGAAGACTGTATCCGGCTTTCTGGGATATTAGGTCAAATTTTTATCTAGGTCAAAGGTCAAAAACTAGGTCAAATCTTACATTTTCAACATTCTTCATCATATCTTCGTCAATATTCTTCGTAACTCCTTCATCTTTTTTTCATCGTGTAGCTTAGAGAAAGGCGAATCAAAGATATGGCATCAGAATTTTGATTACTCTTACCGATTTTGAGATATGGCGTCCGAAATGTAGGTCACGACTAAACATCCTCCAAATCGAATGTGTGAGCTATGAAAAAGATGTAGAATTTTCTCAGGAATCCAAATCTGCAAACCAAATTTAGATCAGACTTCCGGTTCGGAAGTTATGGCGTTTTAAAAGCTCAAAAATCGCTAAATTTGGTGCCTATGTTAAGTCAATGGGAAAAAAGACTTTTTCGAAGTGTAAAATACAGGATATTGACTGAGTACAACTTAACATAATGAATGCTTATAAAAGAAGGGGACTTCAAAAGCTACATAGCTTCAAAATTTGGACACCAAAATGCCTAGGTCAAAATCAAGGTCAAATTCATAGTTTTTCCTTATTTTTACGATTCTGACACTACACTTTAATAATTTACTTCAAAATGTTGTATACAGGTAGCAAATAGTGTGCTAATAGTGTTAGCCTTTTGCCGTCAGAAAGTATTTTGACCCACTTTTGAGATATGGTGTCCGAAAAGTAGGTCAAAATAAAAAGTTCTCCAGATTCAACGTATGAGTTATGAATTAAAGGTAGAATCTTCTCAGGAATCCGAATCTGCAAACCAAATTTCCGATTCGGAAGTTATGGCATGTCCAAAAAGTAGGTCAAAATAAAAAAAATCCAAATTTAACGTATGAGTTATGAATTAGGGGTAGAATTTTGTCAGGAATCCAAATCTGCAAACCAAATTTCGATCCGACTTCCGGTTCGAAAGTTATGGCGTTT